AGCTATTCACTTGTTTTTCCCTGAGTTGTGTCACACGGGCACCAGTCTGTCCACACTCCCTTGCTTAGTACATCTGGTGATTTTTCTACCAGTGGGTTGGTAATAGCCAGTCTACAGCAGAGGAGTCTCCCTTCCTTTGTCCCGAATGCAGTGTTCTCTGCTAGTGCACTGAACTCCTAAAAACGCCCAGGTCATTTCCCAGCAGTATATGCAACTCATTCGGGGAGTCTAGCTCAGCTCAAGGCTCGGTCAAGGCAAGAAGTGAGCATGTATGAGATCACTGTTTCCAAGACCTACAAACAAATGGGCGGTGCAGGGATTAGGGTTTTGACTTTCCTGCTGACGGTTTCCTAGGACATGAGTACTTCATTCTCCCAGGAGATCATCCCGGCTTAGCTCACCACTCCTCCCACACTAGACACTTTTTGTAGCTCAGGGTGTGTTTCGAAATATTACTGCGAAATGACAAATACACCCTGTTAAATGACAGATCTTTTTACTCAGCGTTTTCCACTCCCTCTTACTTCTGCAATTTTTCAGAGCATTTTGATCTGTAAAGTTGTCAGAGAGGTCTCTGTGCATCCACACTGGGTTCACACTATTGCTGGGGGTGATGTACAAAAATGAGGAAACATATAGCCCCTCCAAACTGATTTCAACCTAAGAAGCATGTACGTACATAACAAAATGAAATGAGCTGGAGAGTAAGCAGATCCTTGAGTGCTGATACGTGATCCTTATGGAGATCCACAGCCTGCGGACTCCACGTTGAGGACGGGTTTTATGGTGTGGAGGACTGGGCTTTAAATTCCATTTCTGGGCTGTTGGCTGGAGTTATCTGGGCCTCCTCTCTGAATTCACAGATAAGGAGGCAAAATTTCTCATAAGCGAAGTGGTTCACTGAAAGCCAAAACAGGTCACTAAGAAGCAAAAACAACATCGGAAGTCTGTGTATTGCTGTTTAACAGGATTTCTCTGGAGGTAATGGGTGTAAAAATAACCCAATTATTGAAACCCTCAACCATCATCACAGGAGTCCACGTTTTCTTAGAACTAGAGGCTCATTACCCTTCTGAGTTGTGGGTCAAATATTTAGTGCCTGTTCTCAGAGCCTACTTGGTGGGACTTTCAAATGCAGGTAGCCACACAGCAATTTTCCAGGGGAAATTCCTCAGAAACTTAGCCTAGAGTGGCATCTGACTTACTCTGAAACCAGAATGGCAACATACTTTGCCCCAAACCTGCCTCGCCACCTATCTGGTCATCGTTCAGCCTCTGCTTAGCTGTTTCTTGACCTTCCGTGACATGGTTTCTCAGATGTGGATTATCTCTTATAATATGGTTTTCATGATAGGGTTTCTCAGCTCCATTTTAAATTGATTGTCTATTTTATCTCTCATGCTTCTCAACTCAAAACCAGGACACCCCCGAGGTATATCACAAGTTATTTTTGTTAAAGAAACCTCCTGGTCACCTATGCCTTCTCTATGAATCTATGACAGGTTAAATTTGTTTTTCATACTCTAGGTAATATCTTTAAATCAGGAAAAGACTAAAACGGGATGTCACTTCTACGAAATCTCAGATACAGCAAGAAATCCCTCAACATTTTTTGCTCCAGGCCCCATTACCTCTCCTTGGCAGTTCTTCAGAAAGAACTTATGTTGCAATAAAAGTCTGGCAGTGCTATCTGGCTCGACATCAAAATCAAAGTATAAAAGTGTGGTTTCAAACTTCCTCGGGTTCTCAGAGCTGCTGGTGATTATTTCCTGCATCCTCACAAAACATTCATTTATTCATTTAATTCGTCTTAGACCACTTAGCATAATAGGCAAGAAGATGAATTCTAAATCCAGACAGCACGACGTCGAATCTTGGGTCTGCAGTTACTGGGTGAATGACCTTCCACAAATTGATTGATGTCTCTGTGCTTCATTTCCCAAATGGGGGTAATAATAGGACCTGCCTACCTAGGGTTGCTCTGAGGATGCATTTTTATAAAGTGTTTAGAGCAGCTTCTGACACAGAATAAGAGCTCTGTAAACTTTTCATTAAAAGTTAATATTTGCATACTTACCTGGCAGGGGCGATAATCATGATCACGAAGGTGGTTTTCCCAGGGTGAGGCTTATCCATTGCACTTTGGAGGTGCCAACCCCTGTGATTTAGAATGTGGGAAACTCGACCGCATAATCTGTGGTAGTGGGGGACTGCATTCATGTGTTCCCCTGATTAAAAATAAATAAATACATAAAAATTAATATTTGCTAAGTTTGGCTTATTGGATGTCAGGTATTGGGTGGAGAGTGGTGTGAGTTTGGAGGGGGTTGTATAATCCCCTCCCCGTGAGCGTGGTCAGGACCTGTGACTTTCTTTTAACTAGTAGAACATGGAAAAACTGGTGGGCTATATCCCTTGAACAAATCTGCTATATGACAAAGGGGAGAGGATGCCACTCCCAAGATTTGTTACATTATCGAAGACACCTTCTTGCCAGAAGTCTGCTGGCCTAGAGGAAACAAATTGCCATGTTACAAATGGTAGAGAACTGCATGCAGCTTCTGGAGCTGAGAGCGGCCTCCAGCCAGCAATCATACAAACAAGCAATAGCAAAACAGTAACAACAACAAAACCCTCAAGTTTGCGATTCTGCACATGCAAGGTGACAAATGGGGCTTGAAAGTGGATTCTTCTCCAGTTGAGCCCCCACGTAGGAAGGCAGCAGAGCAGTCATCTTGACTGCAGTCTGTGAGACCTGGAAACAGAAAACCCTGCTAACCCTGGACCAATGTCCTGATGGCAGCCTTGTGAGAGACCCTGAGCTGGAGACTCAGGTAGATGAAGGACTAGAAAGAAACACACAACCATGTTCGCTGCTCTGACTTTAAGTCTATCGCCACCACACAAATCCTACACACCACATGTCTCTAGTTCGCTTATTTTGCCATTCTCCTGGATGACTATTTCACATCTCTTCTCTCTCAGACCTTACCGTCTTCTCCTCCATGATCACTCTCAGAAGATAATCTTGTTCCTCCTCTCACTTCCACCAGCTCCTATGACCATGACCACACATCTACCTTTATCTGCACCCATTTTTTTTTTTATCTTATCTCAAGGCCTGGTATAAAATGTCCACAACCCAATCCGTCTACCTGTGAGATAGATCCCAAACCCTCCACCCCCATGCCTACTCCTGGACATCACTCTAGCACTGGAATTCTTACTGGGTGTCTCAAAATTAACACGACCTTAACTGAGCTCCTGATTGGTTCCCATACCCTTCCCCCAAAACCTTCTTTTCTCTCTCTATGGTTTCTCAGGCCAAAAATCTTAGCATCCTCAACTCCTTTTTCTCATTCTAGACCCAAGCTATAGTAAATCCTGTAGGTTTTGTCTTCAAAACATATCCAGAATCTTTTTTTTTTTT